CTGGCAGTGAGCCTGCCCAAAGATGTGAGGAGTGAAAGATGTCTCTGTACCTGCAAGTCTGTTATATATCTCTGCTAGGTTAGTCTTATCATGTTGCAATGTTAGTTGGTTGTTGGTGCTAGGTTAGTTGTCTGTTGGTGCTAGGTTAGTAGTGTCTTGTTGTTAGGTTAGTTAAATATTTCTTCTAGGGTAGTTGTCTGATGGTGCTAGTTTAGGTCTGTGTTCTTGCTAGGTTAGTTATATTCTGTTGCTAGGATAGTTATATATCTCTACTAGGTTAATTTTATCAATTTGCAAAATTTTGAAAGGCCATAACTTTGCGTAGAAAGCTCCGTTTTGGACGATTTTTTTTTATTTGGGGTAGCTCGACGAGATCTACGCAGCTGCAAATAGCCGAAGGCGGTTTGGCCGCCCGAATTTTCAAAAAAAACGTCTTTTTCTTGCTTTAATTTCATTTTTAAGGAAAAAAATACATTTTTTGTATTTTAAAACTCTATATCTCCCCAATCGAGACTCATTTTCGAAGTTTTTTTTTTCATAACAATGCTCTCAACTTTTATTTTAGTGAAAATATCTATTTTCACCCCGTTTTGAAGTCTTGATAAGTTTTCCACACCGCCCAATAAAAAGCTAAGTTTTTCACCCCAGAAAGTGCGAAGGTTATGCGAAAACTGTCGCATATTCATCGCATGACTGTCCATATGCGAAGGATATGCGAAAAACTGTCGCATAACTGTCGCATATCAATTGCATAATTGTGCAAAGGCATTGTGCGATAAATATGCAACAGTTATGCAATTGATATGCGACAGTTATGCGAAAAACTGTCGCATATCAATTGCATAATTGTGCGAAGGCATTGTGCGATGAATATGCGACAGTTATGCAATTGATATGCGACAGTTATGCGACAGTTTTTCGCATAACCTTCGCATATGGACAGTTATGCGATGAATATGCGACAGTTTTCGTATAACCTTCGCACTTTCTGGGGTGAAAAACTTAGCTTTTTATTGGGCGGTGTGAAAAACTTAATGTGTCTTTTTTATGGGGTGAAAAAGATTTTTTCTTTTATTTTATGTACCAATTAGAAAAAATTAGAAAATGCATAGTTTCTGCAGTTGCAAGGTTAGTTGTCTGATGCTGCTAGGTTAGTTGTCTGATTGTGCTAGGTTAGTTGTCTGATTGTGCTAGGTTAGTGTCCGCATTTTAAGAGCTGGCCTCATTTTAAGAGCTGGCCTCATTTGATTCGCCCCCAATATATATATATATATATATTGAAAGAAGTTGATGGAAAAATTATTGTGGAAAGTTGATTAAAAATGGGTCAAAGCCTTTGACTTACTTCATTTGGTAATTCGATTTAAATTCAATTTTTTAATGGTTTTTGATCTTCACGTGTTTAATATATCTGATTTGCAAATTTTAGATTATTTGTAGTATAAATTATATATACTCTTTTGCGACATTTTAAATTATATATGGTGCATTTATTTTATGCAAAATTTGCTTGAAATCCTGTTGTATTTATAAAGGTATCAATTAATATTTTAAATTATTTATAAATTGGTTGGTCGGGAACTTAGTTTGTAAATAAATCCGGCATATCATGCTTATCTGAAATTTATATCACGTTTGGCACTGAAACTTTATCTATCTTTCTAATTTATAATTAAAATATTATTTATAATCAATCAAAAAAAACTAATGTATTATTTTTTTTTTACAAATACATTGAGCTACTATAATGAAACAAAATTTGAAATATTCTTTTGTAAAAATTTTGTCCTGTATAATTGACATGCATAAAATGACACAAATTAACATAAATGTAATCCATAATTTTGATTTACATATTATTTGACCAATTAAAAAATCACCATTCAAATTATTTTTTCCCTTTTTACCGCTTTCAACCTTTTAGTATGTTGAAAATCCTTTATCTTATATTTGTATTTATCTATTAGTTGAATTATTTATCAAATTTTGAAAAAATTGACTGTCTTTATTTAAACTATGTAATTATTTTAATCAATTAGTAAAATTATTAATTTATTTGTGTCTTAAAAAATCTAATGCTTCAACCATTAAAATTTAATATACAGTGTTTAGAGAAATTGTGTAAAATTTGTGTCTTAAAAAATCTAATGCTTCAACCATTAAAATTTAATGTACAGTGTTTAGAGAAATTGTGTAAAATTTTTGTACCAAAAAGATTGATGGAATATTTCTTT